AGATCATTGTTATACCACAATGTGTCGTCATACCACTAGACCATGGCACCCTATTGATTGATTGTTGACAGGAAATACTCCATAAAAGGAGCTTCATCGACTCCACTATATAAGCACAACTACATCGCTGGTTAAATCACTCAGTTGCTATTATATGCAGTGTTTGTTCTATTCAATTGTTGGATATATGTGATAATTCCAATCATGACTTTAAGTACCTTACAAAATGCTATGTCGCGTATAAATTTCCGGAATAGTGAGTTGGTTGCAGATATATATCTAGGGGCTGGAGTCAAGTCACAACTTTATGGATAATCACAGGTGGATCATATAAAGTAACTATTTGCAATTGAATAAGATCAAGTCCCCATCGAAAACTCAAACACCACGCATGACACTGCAATTATTCCCTCAACATGAATACAGCTGTAAGATGAAACAAATCCGAAGAAACGACCTACCCGACCCAACCTTAATGTTACCCTCCCAAAGGTCATGAGATGCTGTGTATAGTGATAAGCTCAGCCACATGAGCCGGGTAGCCGGGTATGTATTAGTTTCTATCTAAGGTATGCGAGCCTAGGTAATCTTTGCTCGCTTGTTCGTAAACCCAGAATCTGGACGAGATCGCTTTCGCTCAGTTGCCTCCATTTCAGCTCTCATAATCCTCTCCTGTTCAGTCATCTTCTTAGGAGCTGCGAATATAGAACCCTTCTTTCCGGCCAAAGGGTTCTTCTTAGCCATAGCAAACACGTTCTTCGGCTTTTGTGCACCCATGGACATCGAAATCTTGACCGGTGCGGCAGGCGCAGACGGAGCAGGAGCGTCGGTGCTTCCTGTAGGTGCGTCTGTTTCTTCCAGCGATACTGTCGTCGTTGTCGTTGCAGGAGGCGAGGCTGGCTTCGTATCTGCCTTCTTCGAGCCAAGTCCAAGATTCAAAGTCATCTTTTCTCCTTCCTTCCTCTGCAATAATCTTGCCTCGGGTTCAGGGTCTGTCGTAGTGCCGCTGGCCATCGCCGCTTGCTGGGCTCGCTTAATCTGTTCCTGAATCAGGCGTTGCTCTCGTTCCTCGTCTCCCTTCTCCTGGCGTTCTTTCTTTAAAATGGCCTCCCGGCGGCGAAGGGTGTCTGGACTGTTATCAATCCATGCTATGACCAATCCCTTATCGGTCTCCTCAACCCGACACTTTCCCTCTCGTCCCAAATAGGCCGCAAACTGTGATAAACTTTTCCATTCTGCCTCCAAGGTTAGTATTAGTCCTTGCCTCTCCTCTCCGTCGGGACATACCTGTGCTGTTCATGTGAATGTGCTACAAGAAAGTCAGCCAGAACGAACAGAAAAAAGTGGAATACAAAAGACATACCTGCTTATCAGCCACAATCTGATTATAGAAATGATTCACGTTAATAGGTTTAATCCCATGCGTAGTTCTGAGGGTGTCGAGGAAAGTGCGCTCAAATTCGCGACTAAACTCTCTGATGTGCTTGCGCGGGTCTTCTCCAATGAGCATCATTTGTCGGACTAATATAAAGTTAGCTAGTGAACAGGACATGAAAGAGGGTAGAGTCCGTACCATGCGCCTCGGTCATGGTGTGACATTTAAACCCGTTCTCATCTCGACATTGTTTCTCGCATGCCTGGCAAAACCATCGAAGACGACCCAATCCTTTGCTTTTGATCTTGTTGCCGATGGCTTTTGTACTGCCTGGTTCCGCACGACCCATTTTGTAGGTCGGTAAATGAGATTAACTTAAGCGTTCGAAGGAGGCGACGAGAGGAAAATGCTTTAAAGGACGAATAGATCGGAAAGATGGTGTATGTTGAGAAGCGTTTTGAAGAAAGTAGTGCGAGAAGCTTTGAGGTGGCGCAGATCAACGCGATAAGCCGATCGATTACATAACATATCACATGACACAGACAAAGAGGCCTGGTCTCGAGCTTCCAAAATTGGTTAGTTGATTCCTTAATTCAATATCGATAATGTATACGGAGTATTAGTGGATGAATATGAAATGAAGCTGAATACCTAGGTTCATTGAAATATTCTAACAAAATGAAGCAAACTCCCCCAAATCCTACGCCTGCATCCCGATATCGCTTTTCTACCTAGGATCATAGCGTACGTAAAGAAAGATGTATTCCGGAGACAAACCAGCAAACCTCGCCAAGACGAAGGTGTGTAGCAAAAAACAACCAAAGAAATGTACCATGAACCAAGATGGATATTAAATCACCGAGTCTGCAAGTATTACAAGATGTACTCGTGAATTGCAGACGGTCCGCTCTCGTTGTACTCAACCCGGCTCATGTAACCCTTGCTGAGACCCTGGTCAATGACAAAGAAAACCTTGGCGGCCATCTGAGCGCCGAGGAAAATGGCCTCTTCTATTCCATGGCCACCTTGGGATGTGCCGGATGCGCCTGGGTTACCCCCAGCACTGCCACCGCTGGCGCCGGGAGCGTTGCTGTTGCCCTGGTCTTTGAAGTCCGGGAAATACTCAGGAAGCTTCAGAGTCTTGACTGAGGTTGGGGTTTGGGAGTGGCCGGTCGAGCGGTAGTGTGACAACATGCCGGGGTCCACGGAGGGCGTGCCGGGCATACCGGGGTTGTTGTGAGTTGCAGCCACAAGGAGAGGGTTTACCCCAGCTGCCGAGGGGTGGTACATCTGGCCAGGAGCCGGTGTGTTGGCACCGGTTGGGAGAGGGGTGGTGAAGTTCGAAGGAATTTCAGACGTGAAGATGGTGCCGGATGGAGAAAGTATGAACTTTTGCGTAATGACAGCCAGCAAGGCCTGTGTGAAACCTGTTTTAATGTTAGCGAAAAGACCCAAACTCTAGATAGCAATGACAAAACATACCCTTGACTTTGCTTCCACATCCAACGATAATTAAAGAGTCCCAAAGCTCGCTTCGCTTTGTAGCATCTGGGACGGCAAGAATAGTGTGGTGAATCTGAGTCGCAATGTCCTCGAGGATACCGCTGGTCAGGCGGTTTCCAACCTTCGAGCGCGGCGAAGTCAAAAGGAAACGCTCAACACTGACTTCAATATCTCGAGTACGACGAGTGTACTGCCGAGCACCGTGGGCTGCAGCCTTCTCTCCTTCCACCGGAACGAATTCCTCGAACTGGAAGGATGCCTTCTCTTTCTTCGAGTTAGGCAGGCGGGCTCCCTTGGGGTCAGCTGCGCCTTTCTTGGTAGTTGTCTTCTCCTTCTCAACATTGGCAAGGTATTCAGTGGGGTTGCCGCTGACAATCGCAGCGACATCGAGAACACCCTCATCGTCATCACCATTATCCCCCTCTATTCCTGTCTGAGTGCCGTCTCCTGGACCGCGCGGGGCAGACTCATCTCCTTCTGATCCGCCTGTCGAGGCAACGGCAGCAGGGTTGGCGCCCTGGCGAGCAGTAGCAGAAGACCCAGGCAGTAGGGTTCCCGGGGGAAGAATCTCGGTAATATTACTTCGCTTGAGTTGCTCGCACATCTCTCTGGTAAATCCCTTCGGACCCAGCAGCTCAACAAGACGATCGGTCATAGCATCTCCACCACACCCCTCCAGTGCAATTCCTCTGCCGTGTTCGTTGACCGCGAAGTCGGTCACAGCAGTAACATCAACCTTGCCCTTTCCAACATCGACAACAGTGGCGGTAGGTGTACCATAGCCGTAGCAAGCCGCAAGAGCAGAGTCCATAAGACTAAACGCGGGTGCCTTAAACTTCTCGAAGACGAATTGAGTGATTGCTTCGCGATCGCGTGCGGACCAGACGGGCTGACCAACAAGCATAATCGGAGTGTGGAAAGGTGGGCTCAAGGTATTGTGGATGTGAGTGAGCAGGGCGAAGAAACAGGGCCAGTCGACGATGCGCCCGTTCTCGATCGGATAGATTGCCCCTTCGTCGGATGCCAGGTCCTCCTCGTAGAAGACTTCTTCAATAGTCTTGGTTGACTCGTCATTATTCTGAATATTTTCGTCGGTCTTGACAGTGGTCCCATCAGCAGCGGACTCAGCGTCCTTCATCTCCACGTCCGGCTTTGTGTCCGTGCCATTGTTGACCTTGACCTCTTGACGTCTCTCGAGAACACGGTAAGGCTCATATTCTCCCTTCTTCTCGGCAGGGAACATGCGCGTTGGGAACCGAAATCGCGCGGGCGTGAATGTTTCAGGCAGGCCGAGCTGCGCCAAGGTCATTTGCGAACCCGGCGCAATTAGCTAGACGAATGGTTAAAATCGAACAAGAAAATATGAAGAACCAAGCTTACCAAGATATGCTCATCCTTGAAGGGCGGCATCGTTATCAGTGGCAGTGACGAGCGTTGCGACGAGTGATGACTGCGAGCTCCGCTCGATTTGCGTTGGTTACTCTTTCTTCCCATTGTGGTTTAGCGTGATTCGGGCGAATCGGAGTCGGTGGTTGGTCGGGGAATAATGTTTCCGAAGTTGGAAGAGTTGAGGTCTACTTCTGCGAGGTGACAACAACAAACCACGATTTACGCAGCCAGAACGTATTAACTCTGGAATATTTTGTCAATAACTATAGGTATTTTATTACTTTATTGAATTTAGGATTGAAAAATGAATAAAAAATATCAAAATGATCGAGCATGACATAGCTATACTATTTATATAGACACAGGATATTACGCAGTACAATACAATATACACAAGAATTTGTCTATAAGCTCAGTCAGAATAAGATCTATAGATATCCTCCAAACATCATGATGGCTAGCACACTCGGTTTTGCTTGAATATACGTTGTATGCCGTTCGGCCTTCTATAGAGAGGTAGACCATGCCTGTCAAACATTCAAATCATATGCAATTAACTAATGCATTATGCGCTTTCACGCCATTAATAGTATATCCGCCCACAACCTATCCCCCTAAAGCAGAGGAAGAAAAAGATCAGAAACCATATGAGGAAAAAAAACTCCAGACCCACATATCCGGTGGAACGCCATCATCCTTTGCACTCTATGACCAGCACGAGTCTAAGGTGATTCTATTCTGGGACAGCATGGTATTTGTCAGTCGCTGATCGGAATAGCTCCTGTTGTTGCCTTAGAAGCTCCTCTTCTGTCAGACCACTTTGCTCCATCTTGCTCTGCTTCTTCTCTCGTGACTATAATTCGGATCAGAGGTCAGCCTGCGCTCGAAGATATTACAGTCCCAAGCAAAATATGAACATACCTTCAGCTGCTGCTTATGCTCTTCAGCAACAGCGAGTACATCGGCAATATAATCACTGAAACCGAGGTCCCGTAAAGCCTTCTCCACATGTTCACAAGCGATGGTCTTCTTGGCCTCCTTCTCGCTGATATCGTTTGCTTCGGAGGAGATCAGTGTAATAAATTCGACACAACATTCCATGAGTAAGTCACGCGCATCCTTGGAGAAGGTTTGGCCGGAGCTAGGTGGTAAAATCTCGGTGATAATCTTTTGGACCGTCGCTATTATAGATAAGTTAGCAAATGCTAGCAAACACGTATGTGAAGCCACAAGTGTATAGGCGGTGAAGCGGTAAGAACCTCACAAAGAGCTGTACACATTCACAAGGTTATTGCACCGTACCTTTAGGCAGAGATAGGTCGTCGTTTGCTACTCACGTACAGGTCAGCAGGTGGCGCGTAGGCGGCCAAGACCTAGAGATCACTTACAGTTGAATTCTCGGTCAGACATGGCGAATCAGATGATATAGTGATAGACAACAAAAGAACAAATGTCAGATCGAGGGAGAGGCGCAAAAGGGATGCTTTAATTTCTTTGATCTTTTGCGTGGGGCTCAAAGTTTCAAGGCCCATCGCAGGCGCGCGACGGAGTTAAGTACAATTTCTTGCCGGCAGAATACTACCGCTTTGGACCACATAAATTGCGCTGAATTTTCTTTTCCATTTACATCTTCTTCATCAGTCTTCAATATCCTCCAACTACCTTGGAAAGAGTCCTTCAAATGAGATTTGACTCTTTCCGAGGCCACACACTAATGGTAAGCTATTGCTCAAATCCCTTTTCCCAATTTCTATCATGATGAACTTTGCTTGTCGCCCCTATCATACATTCTATGGTGACCTTACCTGTCCTAGCCAAACGGACTATCTGATCTCTATCAATTCTGCACATTTGCATCTCACTTCATTTGTTTGAAACGGTTGCTAATTTTATTGAAGAATTTGCAGGAAATCCATCTCTTGTTATTGTAGCTTGGAACTCGTTTCTGCTTGGATGACATCCACAGAACACAATTGGAGGACGGGGATATTTACATCTGTATCTAAAGGTACGCGCATAAAATTTGCTATATTTTCAGTTCCAATTACATGATGTATACCCTTACATTCCATGCTAAACATGAAGGTGCACTGCGCCTAATGCTTATAAAATGTATTGCTTTTCATCTTTCGACTGACTTGTAAACAATTACTGCCTCACATTTGCACTCATTGTTCTATGGCGATCGTTACTGACTTGCTATAAAGATTACAGATATGAACAAGAATTTTATACTAGCTATCAATGATATTATTATTCCTGGAAAACCTCGAGCTCCTTGTCGTTCCATCTGCCAATTATTAGTATTTCTCGCGTAATATGTGTAGGACAGCACATACGAATAGAAACGACCGCTGATTTCCTTGGGCGCATCGAGTACCAGCTTGGCCATGACATGGCCGGGCTGCTCGGGCTTGAGGAGCTTGCCGTTCTTGTGGACTCCAGTGAACTTGGAGTGCATTTCAGCGTCCAAGGCTGTGCCATGGTCCTCCCGCAGGGCACGCTGCATCTCGGTGTCGACCATACCAGGTCTGATAGACACGGAGGTGACATCGGGTTCTTCGGCACCCAGGCTCATGGCAAAGTTGTTCATGGCGGCTTTGGTGGCAGCATATAGAGCCCAGCCACGGTAAGCGTTGACTGCAGCGCCGGAAGACGTGAAGATAATTTTTCCTTTGGACTCACGGAGAGCCGGTAGAGCCGCTTTGGCCTAGATTCCGTTAGCAGTGCATGGTAGATTTGATGTAGGTCCCGTACAAAGGCAACTAAGCTGATAAAGTTGACATCAAAGCCTTCCTTCCACTGCTGCGGATCAGCGTCGGCGATTTTGCCAACCTGGCCTAGCAGGCCGTGGTTAAGGACCATTCCATCGAGCTGACCGAAGGTCTTGATGGCTTTATCGACGGCCTGTTGGGCAAGAGAAAAGTCCGACAGATCGCCATTCAGGATTGCCACCTGGTTGCCGTATTGCTCCTTGAGCTTTTGGAGGGGCTCAACGCTGCGGGCTACCACTACCACATTGTGGGATTGAGGCGCGGTGAGCAGATACTTGGCCACAGCAAGACCGATACCTAGTTGATGTCAGTATATGATTATGCACAAAGTTTGAGGGGTGGTACCTCTTGAAGCTCCTGTGACAATGATGGTCTTGGCTGCCATTTTGATGAATGCTCTAGTCACTAGGTGTTAGTGGTAGGAAATCAACACAGTGACAAATGTAAGAATAGATGCTGGATTCGAAATGATAGCGGCAATGAGAATGCATGACAACAGGTTTTGGCATTGCTTTGTATGCCAAGAGACTTGCATAAACTTGCTCAAGCTGTCTCGGATATATATCTGAACAGCTCTGCAAAGCTAAGAGCTCAAGCATTGGGGAACTCTGGTTGGGCAGCTGGTGTAACCTACTCAATGTTTATTCTGCAGACGTCTTTAGCCGAATATCAATACTGGTAAGGAATGATAATATGAAGATGGACACATTGACAGAGCGCCGAGAGAGGTCTAGTGCGGGGCTTATTCATCTCGTGGGGTCGACCTCGGGAGGGTTTCCCTATATGGTAGGCCGGCGGACGTCATGCTCTATTTCATTCTATAGAGTAGTGCATATAAAATGGAACCTATAGGCATTACTTGAGCTATAGTCCAAGTAACTGTATCGTTTGCAATAGAAATGAGATATTGAAGGTATTCTCCATACGTAGGTAGACTGTGATCGTGGCTCAGCAGGCAAATAGCTCCAAGAAATAACTTTAATTTAAAAAATACGCCTAAAGTTTAAGATGATATATCATAAAGCCGTACATCCCCCAGCAAAACAATGGTAGAAAGAGGCGTTGCTGTCACAGTAGAAGCAAAGGCGAAGAGAACTTGACCGTATTGTGTAGCTGCGGCAGCCACCCAAGAGGGCCCGGTCACGTGGTAGCCAATTTCAGAGAACCGGTCCGAGAGATCCACCCGTCGATAGGAAACACTTTCACGATCGCCCAAAGGAGTCAACTTTTGCGATCAGCTCTTTCTCTACTCCACAGTATTCTTAAGTTTGGATCCACCGGTAGCGTGTACCATCATCTAAAAGCCATGGAATTCCTCCCGGCTATAATCCCAGCACTTGCACATATTCCCGGGCCGGTGCAAAAGAAACCGGGAAGCAAGATTATAGATTGCCGGGAAATATAAGCTCGAACATCCCATCTGCGTGCATTAATTGCAACCAATACTTTATTCCGACAATCTGCGTCGATAAGCGTTTCTAATTTTGCACTTACAACAGCCAGCATGTCGACCGTCATCCTTGGAGGAGGTATCATTGGAGCCTCAATTGCTTACTACCTATCTGCCAACCAGCCAGAAGGCGATATTCACATCGTTGAGCAATCCCCAGAGCTTTTCACCGCAGCCTCGGGATATGCCGCGGGTTTCCTAGCTAGAGATTGGTTCGAGCCATCTCTTGCCCCTCTTGGTGCTATGTCCTTCGATTTGCACCATGAGCTCGCCGCAGCGGAAGGCGGAGACAAAAAATGGGGATTTATGAAAGGAACAGCATTCAACTTGGATACCGTCGCTCAACGCAAGCGAGGGGGTCCCCGCGGTGATGATTGGTTGCGAACGGGCACCAGTAGAGCAGAGACCGCGGCTGGCTCCGAGGATACCACTCCGGTTGAGATTCCGGAATGGTTGACGATGCAGAAAGAGGGAATACTGGAGAAAATCAGCCAGGGTGAAACCGTGGCTCAAGCGTGAGTATCTAACTGAAAAAGCGTTTCATGAATGATCTGTTAATTGTGTTCAGAGATCCATTGCGGTTGAGCCAATTCCTCATTGACGGTGCTATCACCCGAGGCGCTAAGCTTCATAATCCAGCCCAGGCCACCGAAGTGGTCAAGGATGCGAACGGCACGATTACCGGCGTCAAAATCGTGTCTTTGGATACCAAGAAGGAATCAATAATTCCGTGTACGAACCTTGTTCTGAGCATGGGGCCGTGGACACCACAGGTTCTCAGAGACCTGTTCCCCTCCTCTCAGGTATTATTCGATATAACGCCTTTGGCTGGCTATTCATTGGTCCTTCGATCCCCTCGGTATACAATGGAGCACGAGAGAAATGTCTACCGTGGAAGCAGCCATGCTGTATTTACAACGCACCCTCCGTCGTGCGGGTTTAGCCCCGAGATCTTCCTCAGGGAAGGCGGGGAAATTTATATCGCCGGTCTTAACAACCCCGCCATGAAGCTTCCACCTCGTGCCGGTGATACTACCCAGCTTTTTGATCCCGCCGAGATGCAAAAGCTCAAAGATGTTGCAATTCGTTTAATGGGGGATCTTCCCAAGGGTACAAAGGAGGCTACCGACGAGAAGGCCAACACAGATGACTTGGAGATTATCCGTGAAGGGCTGTGCTTCCGCCCGGTGGGAAATACCGGTGTTCCTACAATTGGACGAATTGGAGATTACTCTTTGGGAGGTGTGAAAGCAAACCCTAAGGGAGGCGTCTTCATAGCCGCTGGCCACGGAGCGTGGGGAATCTCTTTGAGCCTGGGAACTGGAAAGGTTGTTTCTGAGATGATCAAAAAGCAAAAGCTCTCTGTGAATGTGAGCGGCTTGGCGGTTCAGGACAAAGTTCCTAGTTCCAAGCTGTGAGCATTTGATCTGCAATAGGAAAGAGCTCCGGATGTACGTCTAAATATGCTTTTCCTAAGGTCACTGACAAGAAAACATTGTAGCTGCGTATTTCTTTAATCTCATCGATTTCATCCTCCGAGTGCGCACATATTGACTTTCGAAGGCTCCCTCGTTGTCGTTAACAAAGACCGATCATCTTCGATTTAGAATTTAAATACCTCCTTATCAAACTCAATGTCGAAGAACTCAAAATATTCGTTTGATACTAATTCAATCAGATTGGTGGACTCGACTTGGAGGACTCGACTTGGTAAACTCGACTTGATTATGCACTTCGAGTTCTATTTACCTCTATTTTCCCTCTGATTTCTTTTGCCGCTTGTAATGAGATCAAATCAAATATCTATCACTCATCTCCACCTCAAGTCAATCTCGCCCCGGTTTAAACCTAGCGCCAGCATCGGGAGTAAACATAGATAGGCAGCCACAGGAAAAGGCAGACTAAGTCTGGGACTGCGGGCACCGCTACTCACTATGTAATTAACTAGTTATAGCTCTTCCTAGGTAGCTTCTTTGCCTAGGTGACAGTTTCTTTTCAATATCTCTCCAAAAACTTTTTTTAAAAGAGTTTTTTTTTTAAAGAATGCTCTCAATGTTTTCATACTTATCAGGTTATAGTCAGAATAATACAAAAAGGATCAGCCGTAAAATATAGAAGATATTTGGTGAAAGGTGTGTTCAGATGTATATCTAGGAAATTTACTAGTCATCGGATTATAGATAATCCGACGGACCGAGCAGCTCTCCGCCACTCGAGCTCTCCAGAATCTTCAAGCATCCGATATCTCCCAGCTTTCAAAGCACCGTCGCTTTGTGCCTGTTTCTTCTGCAACCCTCCCCTCCAATTTCACCTTCCATCAATCCTTCATCAGCCAATACCAGAGACTGCCCGTAATCAACCATGGCCAACTACCTTGCATCCATCTTCGGTACCGAGCAGGACAAAGTCAATTGTTCGTTCTACTACAAAATTGGCGCGTGCCGACACGGCGATCGCTGCTCTCGCAAGCATGTTAAGCCTTCGTACTCGCAAACCATTCTTATGCCGAACATGTACCAGAACCCGGCTTACGACCCCAAGAACAAGATGAACCCCAGCCAAATGCAGAACCACTTTGACGCCTTCTACGAGGACGTATGGTGTGAGTTGTGCAAGTACGGCGAGCTGGAAGAGTTGGTCATCTGCGACAACAACAACGACCGTAAGTAGTGTTCTCTTCAAAATGTGTGTCTGAATCTACTGACATCTGATTTCGCGACAATAGACCTCATTGGTAACGTCTACGGCCGATTCAAATACGAAGAAGATGCACAGGCAGCCTGTGACGCGATAAACTCCCGTTGGTACGCAGCGCGACCTATCTACTGCGAGTTATCACCCGTCACCGATTTCCGAGAAGCCTGTTGTCGGCTCAATAGCGGCGAAGGATGTGTACGAGGGGGCTTCTGCAATTTCATTCACCGGAAAGATCCGACACCTGATCTTGATCGCGAGCTGCGACTGAGCACCAAGAAGTGGCTCAAGGAGCGCGGCAGAGATCCTCGCAGCGCCAGCCGCAGCCCTAGCCCCGAGCCCACCCGGCGCAGATACTAGTGGTGTGCCACGACGAATTTTCTCATTGTTGTTTCCCTACATTCGATCCTTTGGCGTTCGGCGATATCAGTCGGTGGTTCAATTCCACTTTCCTTTGCGCAGCGGCGCATTGAGGGCATGGGGTCTCGGTTTGTCTTTACATTTACTGATTGGCATTTGCGTTTCATGATATCAGACTTGCGCGATCAATAAAACCCACAGCTAAACTTCATGTACAAATCTCGCTTAGTAATTCCTTATGTGTACCACCTGATAGGTAGTTGAAGCCGAAACCAGTACGTTGACCAGCACCCACTGAGTGATATCGGTCAAGGAAACTGATTCAAAGCTCTCTCTCTAGCACTTTGAATCCATAAGTCATTGTCAGAAGATTGCAATTGCTTCATTACTAATGACCAATATTTCAACTACACCACGCGCAATTTTACTAGGAGAGGTCGACGGTGCAGTGAGCTGTGCAGTGTCGCGGCTGTAGTCATAGATGTCGTGGAAGTCGCTTGATGTTTTTTTTTTGGCTTTGACATCGAGATTGACGCGTCGTATGAAAAGGAGGTGCATGCTCATAGTCGTAATACATCGAGGCACTCGAAGTACTGTTTCATCTTCGGCTTTTTCTATCACACACATAGACGCTGCTATACGTTTTGAAGTCTATATAGTTGGTTACATAAACTATGAATCCGCCTCATAATCTATCTTCCGCCCGGATGGTCTAGTGGTACGTTTCAATAACCTCCTAAAGCCATAAATTTCCCCGCTAATCTCTTCTAGGTATGATTCTCCGTTTGGGTTTCCATCTCAAATCTCGGAGAGGCCGCGTGTTCGAATCGCGCTTCGGGCCCTCATTTTTTTTGTTTTTGCTCCAAAGTTCTTTCTTCTAA